TAAATAATGCGGAAACTTGTAAAGTTTAAATTACATAACAACTAAAACGATTAAAATTGATCAGGAAGTTAATAATAACAAATCCTCTATTTTATGGAACGATAATACTTCATTTTATTGTAAAAAAAATTTATTATGCTAAATTACAAAATAAAATAATCATTAAATTTTTTATCAATTTAAAGCTTCTTTCACTTATTTTGAAAATATTTTTGTCCACGCAACGTTGACAATGTTGCAATGCATAGCTCTAATTTTTAAACAACATTTTAATATTGTTAATAAATAATACTTAAAACAAGAAAAATCTGCTTGCAACAGCTTGTGCTGTCTTTATCGTTTCTTTAAATCTTAAGAATCATGCCAAGGAAGATAGTAAATCGTTATTATGCTTCTTATTCATCCGTCAATCCATCAACTTTGCCATTTTTTATGGACTATTCGTCAACGGTGAGCGATAGGGGTGAAAATTCATTTTGCGGCGAATGGCCTAGGCGTGCAAACGAACAAGCGCGTGTCCGCGCAGTTGATAGTTTCTTTTTTCTCGGAAAATTGCCACGAATGACGAAAACAACGAACCAACGAATTTTCAACAAACAAGGCAAAGTTTTATGTAGAAAAAATATAACAGATCGCTCCGTCGCATATCAATAGTGATAAATGCGCGCGTTTATTCTCCGAGAATGTCTGTCGAAATGTCAAAAACGGATTCATTCGACGACATGACATTTGGTATCGCAGATTTGTTGCTATGCTTACATTTTATTGTGTTGAAAGTGATACAGCAAATATTTTTTTAAGTAATAATAAGTTATAAATTATAACAATTTTCTACAAATACTAAGAGCTAGGCGGATTTCTTTAATATTTTTGAATTTTTGATCAAATCAGTGATAAATATATCATTGCATATAGATGTATCACAAAAAAATAAAATATACAATGATCGTAGAAAATAAAAATATAAGTAAGATAAAACAACCAATTACACAAGTGTGTATACTCTGACATAATGAATAAATCGTGATAAAGTTGGAAAATAGGAGGAAATAATAACTTGCAAGTGTAGTAACAGAGTTGCATTACAATCTCGCGATAATCTGTAGGTACACTAAAAAAATATACATGAAACAGTAAATTACAAGAAATTCTATGGCGATAGGTTAATTCCATGGATAAGTGCGAATTTCACTGGAGCATAAACAACATGAATGAAAGTGTATTGGTTTATACATTGTGTAAAGTCGAGTTGCACTAAAAAAACGCTTGAAAATCGAGTTTCTCTTACAAACAATATTTTGTTAGTCGGCATTTTTAAATAAACGCAGTATTCCCAACGTTGGCGATACAAGAGAATTTTCATTGTAACGCGCTGTTAGCTCCGAAAAGCTGCCATGTCGGTGTAAATATTTCACACGTTTTACAATAAAAAAATTAACTTTCTCCTACAATCCAGATTACAGGAGTACTACGTCTAATCTGAATTAATAAACAGAACAAAAATTTTTTCAAGCACGATAAATCAATTTTACTTGTAGAGATGCAAAATTTATTCGATTTTAATCTAAAGATTGAATAAAATTTTTTTTGGCAACTTTGGTTGGAGATATATTTTTTAAAAATTTTAGATTTATTGGATTTAGAGAGAGAAGGAGAGAGAGAGAGAGAGAGAGAGAGAGAGAGAGAGAGAGATATTCTACAATAGTTACAAAAGTACAGAAATCTCAACATATCTCGCCTTAACATAAATATTATTTATTTCAATAGATAAGCTTATCTATGCATATCTATTGCGTTATACTACAGCGTATCAAATATATCTGCAGATATATTTATAACAGATAAATTATAGTTTGTCATTACGATTGATGTTATTTGAATAATTCCATTGCCATAACGCTCATGGGACAGCACTTTGCTCAGGATAATTCATCGCTGTTTTATTCAAAGATTAATCGCGAGCCGCACGAAATATACATTCTATCTAATGTTCAGCGCGAATGCAACCGTGTACTTTATGTTCCCGCGTGGGGATCAAAGGAAGAGCGAATAGTTTAGTAGACATATTACTTCCCATGCGATCCGTCGTGAATTAATGTTTCAGGCAAATGCATACACGCTACCGCGTTTCCATACTCTGTCGATGACTTCGGGGCATGTGAATTCGCGGAGCATCCGTGTATCTCGCAAGTTCAAGTGCAAATGCAAACCGCTATCCGTGTTCTACGCAAGGAAACGCAACGCTTTGAGCGACATTTCCATTAAAGAAAAATTGTGGGATAATCATATGTTACAAGCGAATGAAAATAGGTATACTCTTGTTCATCCTGATACAATGCTAAAAAGACTAGGAACTACCTTAACAGAAATTTCATTACATTTTGAATAATTATTGGATAATTATATTATCTCTGTTTATAGTAACTGAGAAGTAAAACTACTTAGGATTCCAATTTAGGTGTAACGCTTTCCTATAGTTACTAGACACAAAAGATGCGAAAAATCTACTGAACAAAAACAGAACAATAAATAGATAAGCACATGTCGATGCATTTTCTCAACTTATGACAGATTTCCTTGAATCTGAACAGTCGTCAACATAAGATGAATATTTTACTTTGCGGGACAAAGCGATGCTTTTGTCTTTCATTTCGTACAAAAACATAGCTATAATGGGCATATTTTAATCAATATTGAAGAACTGAGGCCACTAAATTAAATAATTATTTAATTAAGTTTACCTAATTGTTATGCAATCAAGAAAAATCAGTAATGGTATTATACGTTAGATAGTAAACTGACTGGGTGTTCAGTTAAATTATACTAAGATCTTAAAATATTATATTGTAAATATTATATTGAAAAATTGATTATAAAGATTTTCTTCTAATATTTATATCAAAATTGGAATATTTTTTCACAACAAAGTAATAACGGATCAAGTTTTAAATACAATAAGAAAATCTTTTTTTTTTTATTAATTTCTAGTAAACTTTATATTAACAAAATAAAGACTGATGAAATGATAACAAAACAATAAATAATAAAAATTTGAATAAAACAGATAAAAAATATTTCATTTAAAGCACGTCATGGAAATACAGAATTAAAGTAAACTAAAGGTATAGTATTACATATTGTCTGTCTGACCAAAATCCCGTCATACTACTGTAACGTGTATTTTTTTATGATTCGCGTCATTTATTTTTATAGAATTTTTACTATAAAATATTTTATTATTTAATTCTGTTGTTTTACCGTTTATTACTTAAAAAAATGTTAAAAAAATGTTTTTTATAGATTTACAATGTTTATAGATTTAATAATGTTTTTTTTTTAGTTGGAGAGATAGGAATCTCTCGAAGTTTAGAAGTTTGATTCCCAGTTTAAAAAATATTTTACAAAATACTTTATAGATTTCCAAAAAGATCCTATAATTTTTGATTTTGCAAATACTAGTACATGTCTTTTTTGTAAGAGAGTAATCTAAATGTACGAGTAAATGCGACTAATTGCAAGAAATGTGTTTCTATCGCACAGAGTTTCTTACAACCTTTGATAGTATTGTATAACAGAGAGTGAATCTTTTTAAATACAACTCCATAGTTGCTAGTAAATCACAGTGATTCATCGTGCAAGGGAAAGCTAATTCATTGGCTACCTACACCATCAATCGGCGATTTACGCGCGTGTTTGGCTAAATGATTTTCATTCTACTTTCACAAGTGCGTTTCCCATCAACTGGCTTTTATATCGATGAGCATTAACGGAAATTGAAAACATAAGGGAATTTAAACAAAACTGTTAAATTATGGGAGTAAAGCACTAAGCCATGGCAAGAATTAATAGCTAATATATTAAATTTATATAATTAATTAAAGGAAATACCGATAAAACGAAACATGAATTCTATTGTTGCCGACTTTTAAAACAAAAGAAACATTACAACAAATTTAATCGTATATTACAATCGTATATTACAAAATTTATCTTACGAAATATATCAAACTCTATATTATTTTACAAATTTTTTGAAATTTTTGTAAATCAACGATAAAGAATACCGTGCAAAATTGTTTTGCACAAAAATTCTATGAATATTATTTTTATGTATATGTTCACTAATTTATTTGTTCAGGTTTCTATATATTCTTTATATAAAAACTAAAGAATTACAACTGCTTCTCCTAAAATTAGCGACAAATTTATTTCTTCAATACATGTGCGTTTTCTGTATTTGCTTCATTAAATCATGATCTGTGACTTTAGAACGTCGAAGTAATGCAGCAGACTGCATTTTGGAAGTAAGAGTCGTTGAAGGACAATTTGAGGTCGGGTGTCATCCGCGATAGAACATCTGTTTCTTAGTGCACTTAACAAAATCTCGTGGTCTATGAGTGGGTCCAAATTGTCGTGCTGGCTGACAAAAAAAGCGTCTGCTACAGAATGTTTGTTCTATTAATCCCGAGGTTCCAACACGTCGCGACGAGATAAACGGGATTTCTTTATAGAAATTTTATGACCTTCGCACGCCGCCCATCATTTATTCCTGCTATAGTTGAGTACTGTATTTCACAGCCAGATATCTTCTTTATAATCCAAAAAATAAGGAACAAATTTTTGATAATGCAATTAATTTTAAATAAATTCATATATTAATCAACAGGTACCATTTCAATAAATTAATGACATTAATAAAAATTGTTATAATAGTTCGTATTAAAAATAAAATGTTTTTAACGAATAATTTACTTTAATATTTTTAAAAATAAAATTAATTATTTAAATATGCATTATATTAATAATTTATATATAAAATGTATTTCAGGATCATAAAAAATTAATTTCAAAATTTTTTCAATAAACATAAGTAATTGCAATATTATATGTAATGTTCTAGTAATAAAGCTAGTTTTTTTTGTCAATAACATTTGATAGTAGGATAATAGAATACTAGCTGACGTTTCGTGAATGAGTGTGCGAAAAAGCAATTTCGACCATTTTCCGGATGGGAATAAGCCGTGATGAGACTGATTCGGATCGCTAGTCGGAGCGGTGAAACAAACGATCCTAAGTATGTTAAGCGCATTTCGTTCGCTTCGATACGGTTCTGGGATCGCCGATAATCGAATCCCTTTGCGCAATTTTCCACCTTCCGTCTACTCGCATCTCTCAATTAGACGTTAAGGGGATCTTAAAGTCGTCTGTATTACCGACTAGATCACATATAATTTTTGTATAATAATTACTTTCTTTCTCTCTTACTAATTTGAAAATTCTTTTTCAGGATTAAAGTATTAATACGTGTCTGTGAGGTGGAGTCTATGCTGAGAACAACAAAAAATTTCAAAATTGAAATCTTTTTACCATCTCTCAGTTCAATATGGTACTCCAAAGCTGTCACGTCGTGACAACATTTGCTTCATATAAAAGCTGTGCAATCTGTACTTACGAAATAGTAGTCCACAAACTAGTAGCTTGTATGAACAAACAGCGTTGAGTTCTTGAAATTGAACTTAGACATCTGATTAAAACGTAATTGTTATATGAAAATCTAAGTGTATATGTGACATGCGTGAGTGATATTGATGTGTGATGTGTCAATGACATGTAAGTTGTCCGTGTGTAAGTATTATTTTCAATATGACTAATTGTCTTTAGAAGCCCCTTAATTTCTTTTTCAAGTTGGGAAGATCACGCAAGAAGCTCACGCAAATTGAAGAAATATTAATTTGTATTTAACATTTTATTACTTTATTTGTATCTAACGTTACATTATGTTATATCACGTTATATTACATTATACATGGAAGATTTATAAACATAATTGTTTAATAGAAATTTTACCGATATTATATTACAGTAATAAAAACAAATATTATTAATATTTGAAATTTAATTTTTTATGAAAATTATTCAGATAACTTAGCATTTTAAATAATAAACAATATGTTTTATCTTTCACATTAAATCCGATTCCTTTTAATAAGTAATAACATTAATGTGGGTTAGATATTGGTAAAAATACTGATATTAATTTGAAACATTAATTTTGAGTATGTAAATAACCGATATCCGCGTATACAAGTTGCTTACCACTTCCTAAGATTCGCTACCACACAACCGACCACCGGAATTGATTGCTGTTCTACGCGAGATGGTCTACAAATTTTAGACCGACCATCACGGACGCTGCAACGAGGCAAGAGAATGACGGAAGATGCATGGTAAAGGAGAGGAGAATGCTTGTATATGAAAGTGCATGTAAAGGAGATATTCGATTAATATAGCATAAATATCATTGAGCTGATATATATATATATATATATATATATATATATATATATATATATATATATATGACATGACCCGTTTGAAGCGAGGAAATGAGAAATGAGAGAGAGATAGGAGAAATAGAAATATAGATATATCGAGAGACAGAGAGAAATTGCAGGAGGAGTGTGATGCTTCGCACCGCTTAATGCATGACAAAATGAGTTTATACTGGCCGCGAAGGGATGGCAAGGGAGTGGGTACACACAAGTGGGGAGTTCGGCAGAAGATAGATATATGGTGGCGAACGAAACTGGGAGAGGGAAAAGGAGAGAGTTGGGGAACAGATTCGACTGCATAGGCGATTTGGAATGGTGCCAAAGGCAATATGCATTAGCCATCGCGTATTTTGAATTTCAAGCCAAAGCAGATTAAACTCTATGCCGATCCTCTGTCCGATCCGTCAACGGTTCTTCCATCAGCTATTCTTTTCCCCCAGCAGCCTCTCTGTCCACCCTGTCCTGACCGCACGTATCGTGTTTGTCCGATACCTAATGAATGTCGATCCACCGACATGCCTAAGCTTTTATGATATCTCGATCGGCGAACACGCGCTGGAATGCGGCCGCTAGGTCAGGTTTTGGTTGCGGGTAATGCGCGCGTAAATTTGCCAATAGCGCACCTAATCGGCCCGAAATTAGGTTTGTATTAGAATTTTGTGAAAAAGGAGTGCGACCGCAATTAAGAAGATTGAATGACACAAACAGAACGCAGATATGTGAGTGTTTCTTTTAAATATTTCCTGTATTTTTTAAATGTTTCTAAAATAAATCGCAATTATAAAAGAAATTACAACTTTATATAAAAATTAATGCTTAGCAATTAAATAAAAAATTAATATATTTAAAAGTATATATTAGAAACAAACTATTACATATCGATGTTTCGGAATACCATCAAACTTTTAATTACCATAAAACTACATAATTTATTTTAATATTTACCTATCATTATATGTATGATTATCGAAAGTAATTAATTTACTTATTAATTATCAATAAAAGCAAATAAACAGTTAATAATATTAAACAATAAGTTCACTAAACAATAATCTTAATAATATTAAATTAATATTGAAACTTGATTATTATTAATAATTATCATTTTCTTTCGATTTTAATTGTTCGTTCGTGAAGCAAGTATCTTTATTCGAGATTGCCATGTTTCAATGAAATTGCTCACAACGTGCATCGTGAAGATTTTTACGATTAAGTCTCTACGTAGTAGTTTCTTCATTCATGATGCATAAAATGCAAGAACAGGATGTCGGTTTGAATGTAACATATATAATGCATATATCAACATCGAGCACGTTAAAATAGGCTATTCTGCAACGAGCAATCGATCATTCATCCAAAGAGCTTTTCCGATTTGACTGTCACTGACAGGCTTTTATGGTCAATCTCAATATCGGGTAAAACGTGGTCGATGATTATCCTCGCTGATTTTGGTCGTTCGAACTCGTTGATTATTGGGACCTAAATCAGTTCGGCGAAACCGCTTGACTCATTAGTAATTAGTGTATTGGGATAACAAATCATAGATTCCAGAACAGCGAACAGTATATCGGTGGCTCGTGCCGGAAAGTCCGATTCGCAGTATGCAATTCCGAATGCAACTGCTCTCTGTCATTCCCTGTCCTTTCTTCGCCTACTCTCTATTTCTCACAAAACTCACCTATCTACCCCTCCCCCCCTTCCCTCCCCCGGACTCTTGTTCCATTCGACGAAGATTAAGTGGTTTTTCGGTCTCGCAAGCGCGAACAGTACCGAAAATATCGTGGATACAATCGAGCCGCTGAAATTCATTCCGCATGCAGCGGACGCGATAGATATATAATGCGTGATAAATTATAGTGTATGAATGACAGGAAGACAAGGTAGATGCATCTTACGAGAGTTTTCCTTTACCACTCGCTGTTGGCGAACATCTTAATTTTTTAAAATTCCGTTTTCAACAATATTTATCATGAATAATAAGAAATAAATCAAAATAAGTCATTAATGTAAGTCAGTGTAAGCCGACTAGTTTCGTTCTCAAAATGCATTAATAAACGGCGATGAATAATTAAGCAACAAACATTTATCTATTTCTAATCTATTTTAGCCCATCCATTTTAGAGAAACGAATCTGTGAAATTTATAATGTCATTTATCTATATTATTTTTATTTTGTTATGTAATTTGATAAGTTTACATACAACTTTTGCAAATCTGTTATGTCAATATAAAATAAAAAATAATTTGACTTACGCTATGATACGTATAGCAGCGGAATTGTGAACTGCACATACAATATAAATCCAAATTATTACTAACTTCATAGTTGCTCCACTGTCGCCCGATGTCTTCTAGATCACTTCCTTCTTCTGCTCTTGCTCCTCTTCTTCCTCCTTTGAGATTCCATTGCATTCACACAGTATACACTCGCGAAAATGCACTTGCAGAAACTTATTTGATTATTTGCGTACGTTTACTAATTACAATACTCCGCAATACACGATTGTCGGACGTTATACTTGTAAGTAACAAATAATATATGCGGAATTTTAAATCAATTACTATTTTATATTACAGGATAAAGGAATAAATATACGAATTAAAGAGAAGCCTGTATAGAAATTTGAATATACACAATACAATATCAGAAAATATATTCATCGATTTGCCAACTGATGGATTTTGATAGAATAAATCCCACGGAATACAGATATTATTAAAAAACCGATGAGCTACTGTTTTCTTTGATTGGTCAATTAGTTAGATTGGTAAATTAGTTTCTTTTTTCTGACTAGTTAATCAAATGCTTCGAAGCATTTGTAGTAAGACTTCGATGGCACCATCAATCAATCGATTTGTATATATCATTCTGATTCGTCTTCCATTAGAAAATAATCAGCAAGTTATAGTGACGAGAAAATCAAGTGCGACGTGACATATGTATTTTCAACTGCAAGCATAAATAAAAAAATAATCTTTGTTCGTAAACATTGTAAAACAATGTTTACGCTTTATAGCATTCGATGTCAACTGACGGTAAAGTCAATCAGTACTGGCATTACTGGCAAATAACTGGTTAAAATGACTGGACCAGTATCATCCGCCAGTACTGGGTCCAAGTTATCATCCAGTATTTAGCCAGTACTGGGCTAGTAGTTTGCCAATACTGCGCCAGTACCTGAACTATGATAGTTAGTATTGGCCTTGTACTGGATCGATTGTAAAACTCTGTATGGAAATATTCCGATCCGTAATCGTCTCGTTTATAAGTCTTTAATAACGAGGACTGATGATAGATAATTGTAACGATACTTCGTAACTTACTTAAAAATCGTTAATCGTGAAAGTTAAATGCACGAATTTATTAGTATTTATTTGTGAGCAATAATTTACGGTACTTGGCCACATTTCAAAAAAGTAAATGACTTGTATGAAACGTCTCTCGATGCTGCCTACTCGCTGAGTGTTGCTGTGAATAATAAAACAATAATTGTGTAAATACCTGTATAAATTCTGCGTGATATAAATAAATTTTCAACGTCAACCGTTACAAAATATTTTTTTAAGTATAATATCTTATCAAATTTTATAAATATAATAGCTTTTTTCTGTAATTCTTATGTCATATGTCAACGTTACAAAATATTTTTAACTATATAAAGAGTAAGGTCAAAGTCTCATTATATATATAAATGTTTTAATGCATTTGAATAACCAATTAATCCTGCGTGCAAACAGTGGGTCTTTCAAGGAACAGACAAAATTTCAGATAACTGTAGCATTGTAATAGATTAGGGAGGGGATTGGAAATCTTAATCTCTAAACAAAATAGGTAGTATAATGAGGATATACTACCGTAAATTTGTTGTTTCATCAATTTGCTGCAATCCTGTAAGTAAGTAAACACCGTGTTATAAAAAAACACGATAATGTCGAGATCCAACGAAGAAATTGAACGACTTTTATTTTAATCAAGAGAAACTGAAATATTTTATGGTGAAGCTTTGGAGAGTGAAGCTTAGAATATTGAGGGACGTAGATGATGTACAAAGTGCTGATGAAGACAATTCCTTTGAATCTTTTTTCTTAAAAATTTTTTTAATAATGTTATAAAATTTTTTTATGCTAACATTATTTCATATTTTTGTAATGTAAAATGAATAATTTTTTTCTACTAAAAATTAAATTTATTTGCTTTTTTTTTTAAAAATCACTTTCTTTTTTATGTTGTAAAAAAAGGATGGCAATTTTTACTTTTCGAAATAATTAGGATTTTTTCAGCGAGCACATCTATAAACTATTTTTTTTTTTGTGAAGAATCATTCCTCAAGAGTGTGAATCTAAGCTGATTTATTTTTCTTTCAATGCATTGAAAAATTA